AGCATGCTGCTCAGGCCAGCAGTTTCACTACCGTACAAAACGATTTTGTACAAGTTGTTCGATACCGTGTGATCATGACAGCCTACAATATGACTGACTTTACATTAAAGTGAAGCTTAATGATGTGAAAACATCCAACCTTGTATTTATTTTTGTCTTTTATTTTCTCAGTCGTTTCAGTTCCTCTTCGTCTCATCTTGCTTTTGGCCGTCCCTGTGGGTCGACTCTGCCCACTGTCTGAGCTCTCTACCTGTATTTCACATCAGCCCCTTTGTCTTGTCGCTCTAGGTGTCTCCAGGTAGAGGGGCCTGGTCAGGAGTGCCTGTGGTCGGCCCAGGAGCAGCTGCTGCCTGTGGACCAATGGAAATCGAGGCTCTACCCAGGAGTCCTGGAGGAGAAAAAAGAAGGTTGGTGGTTGGATAACTTAGATTTTCTGATGGTTGAAAGTGAATTTTTCAGAAAATGGACATATACAGTACATGCAATTTCTGTATTAAGTGAACCTTTCACATGTGTTGAAGGACACTCTCTGGACCCTGACAGGCATTTTAGGAAATGGGTGAGTTGGTAGGAATCATTTCTGTTCTGCCAGTGGTGGCTCACTGCTTACTAATGAACAGGAATACAAGATCAGATTAGGAGCAGTTGGGGCCGGCTGACGGATCCCAGTTGGATGCTGAGAGAAGGAGGTGGATCGCTAGGTGTGTTTTTCATGGTCTAATGCCATCTAAGTTGCTTAACACGGCTTATCCACTGACCCTGTCCTGTTGTGACCAGGGAAAGGAGGAATGAACAGGACAGAAGCAGAGAGAAAGACTGGTCTTATGTGCTAGTTCATATTTGTGGCTGAATTACTGTGCAGATGTCTTGGACAGGTTATGCACTTGTGAGGTGTAGAACGAGGTGGTACGGGTTAGGGTTAGGGTAGCTGCACCTTTCAGCGGGTCAAAGGCAGCTTAGGGTTAGGGTTATGGTTAGTTGGACAGCAGGTGGACAGACACCAACGAGACCGATGGTAGATCAGCTAGAGGCTAGCAGTAGGCCACAGATAAACGAGATCGATGCAGACAGAATTTTAAAAATGTGGCACAGAAAAGCTGTGCTAGCGATCGGCTCACATCTTTCAATCACAGCCTTTCTGTTTGTATCATTGCTTCAGCCTGGACTGCTGAGGTTTTTTCCTCTCGTTCATCGTTAGCTGCTGCCAATGAGCAATGTGTACAGATATGTTGTGAATGTGTGTTCGTATGCTGTGTCCTGCTCTTGTTGTAAACCTCCACTGTTCCCTTGTGTGTTCCAGTATTAACATGTACTGAGGACTAGTCGCTCTTGTCTGGAGCCAGGCGCGGTACGTACAATCAAACAACCTTGACATGGCTTTGGCTTCAACCAATCAATCGCTGTGCAGTGGCGGGCTTTGATTCTGGCTTTGGAGCAGGGTTTCCTTGCGGTGGACAGAGAGCAGGTACCGTGAGTTGCTGTTTGTCCACTTCTGATCAGCATGAGATGCCAGCCTCATTGTGAAGAAACTGCTGATGTGGTTTGGGGCGCTGTGCAGGGATCTTGCTTTGTTATCATGAATCAGTGGTGGGATCTGATTTCAGCTTCTGATCTGTTCTAGCGTGTAGGCGTCTCTGCTTTCAGTCATCTACTGTCACTCTGTGCATCCTGTGAACCGCCTGCTCCTCCTTCAAACCTTATGCTTCCACCAAGCGAGACAGCAGTATACACGGTGTAGTAGCAGTATCTGGGCATGAATGGAAAGCTCTCTGCCCATGACTTCATTGCCAACACATTGGACCTACTCCAGCCGTACCAGAGACGAGTCCAGAACTGACTCCAGAGACAGCATCACTTGCCTCAGTGCCTGTTTCAGCTTGGAGTAAGTGTTGTTTCCTGGCTGGTGTCGTCATCCCTCATTCAGGTTTGCAGCTACGTACGTTCTGGTCAGTTGTAATAAGAGGATTACCCGTCAGTTCTGTAGAGCGTTTTTTTCTTCATTTATTGCCTTTAAAGGCTAATTCTGTGGATTTTCTTGTTTTCAGCTGGTGTGTTCCCATGAATGCAGCTGCTGTGGTTCAGTGGGTCATGCTGACTGGACTCCACCTCCATTGTAGAGGCTCAAAGCACATCTCAGTGCAGAAGGCGTTCCTGTGGCTTTCCAAAAAAAGGATTTTTACATAGATTGTTGTAAAGGTTTGTTTCCAGTCTGACTGAAGGTGACATTTGCTGCTGGAAGCTGAAGTTTTACGCCCTGACACACAGTGACGGTAGAAAGTACAGTTAGCATGACCCGGCCCACTGCAGCCACATTAGTGGGAAATACGGCAGGTTAAAATCAACCAAAGTTCTGTTTCTAGTGAGGATGCACATGGATAGAGTCAGTGTACAGACACTGCTATGACCTGATTATGCAGCGTCCTCCTCTGTGAGACGTTGTTGCTCAAACTAGATATTATTTCATCATTACTGTAGTATTTATGTATTAATTTATTGTGTGATAGCCTTTAAAATGCACTTTGGATTGCTTCCCACTTGCTATTAGCTATAAGGGAAACGTTAATAAATACTCATTCAGCAAACATTTGTAAATTTTTAGAAAGTTCAAAGAAAATGTCAGGACTTCTGATATAACCGTGTGCTGAAGCATTTTTACGTGGCTTTAACCAAGATTAAGTGAACTAGTAATGCCATTGTTTTGAGAAAACGCAGAACGTACAGGCCCACATTGTTTTCTCATCGCTCTGTGGACATGATCAGGCGTCTGCAGGCAGCGTTATCTCCAGTCATTAGAGGAACTCTAGCAGTGATAGTGCTACAAGTTCTACTCGTTCCTTTGCGTCTTATCAACACAAGATGCTGCACTGACGTGAATTTCTGTTGCTGCCATCGACCAATGACAACAGATGCTACTGGGTCAGCAGACATGAGAGGATGCTTGAATGTGACATGGTGATATCACTAACACTGCAGACTAATCCCTGCTGCTCCTTCCTTTCTCCTCCCATGACTTCCTGCCTTGCTTGAAATAAAATGACGCTGCTGATTTTGCATGGAGCACTAAGACGGTCTTGTGATTAACGTGAGCATAGGGCCTGCATCAACATGTGTTTGAGCCGATTGCACATACATGCAAACTATTCATGTGATAAAGTACAAACAGGACAGTAACATCCTCCACCGGCATTAACCCTCTGAACCCCAGCAAGGTTTTGGGTGTTTTTTTGTTAGTTTTTTCCTTCTCTCGTCACATGTTTACTCGCTGTCAGCTTTCTGCGGTATAAAGTCCTCTATCTGTATGGAAACAGCAGCACCATGGCTAGACAGTGTCTTGTATGTATTTATATGAAACAGTTATAATGCCATTAATCATAAAAAAGGAAAATCTTTTTAAAAATGTATTTACATATTGGAAAAACCTGGAACAACGTGTACAGCATTTTTCCAAGTTCCCACAGGTGTCTCCAGCACTTCCTACATACATACCACAGATACTTCAGTGATTTCTGTCCCTGCTGTCCATCTGCCCAGAGCAGGGGTCGGCAACCTTTAACAGTCAAAGAGCCATTTGGTCGAGTTTTCCATGGAAAAGGAAACACTGGGAGCCACAAAACCCCTCTGAAATCTAAAATTCAGATAACACTGCATATATGGTTTTTACCTTTATGCTATGTATAAAAAAAAAAAACTGTAGTGTGTTGCATTTATGAACTCAGTGAACTGCTACAGAGAAAACAGCATCTTATTTCTGCAACAAAAACATTTTGAACTCCAAAAAAAAAAAAGACGCTGAGTTGAGGGTAATTTCAAAAGAGAATACTCAATGTCTATTTGAGCCGATCTTAAATCCTCCACCTGCAGCAAAGTAAACCAGCATCTGGTTGTCCTGCTGCCTGCAGCTGGACTGCTGACCAGACTGCTGACCGCCTGTGAGCTCTTTGTGACGGAGGAGCCTCACGGCAGCACCGCTGCTCGCTGAGGACGGGAACGGCACAACGATACCAGCTTTCACCTCAGAGTCTCCAAAACACCAGAACAGTCTCCAGTAACACCAGAAAGAGTCGCTGGATTTGTCGCTAGTCGCTTTAGCCAAAAAAAGAAAAAAGAAAAAAGAAAATGCCAAGAAGATTTGAAAAGTTGCCAGATTTAGCGAGAAAGTCATCAGGTTGACAACACTGCACCAGCAGGTGTTTTATTTTAATGTTACAAGTTTACAGAAATCTTCAAATTTAGAATTACATTTTAAAACTAACGAACTGAAAAAAATACATTTAAACTAAATACTCATTTATTTTCCAAAGCCACCAGGAGCCGCAGCAGAGGGATGACAGGGCCTCATGTGGCTCCGGAGCCGCGGGTTGACCACCCCTGGCCCAGTCATCACAGCCTGCGTTTCAGCCAGACGGTCCCTGAACTTGTCTTCTGTTGCAACCAGAACCTCAGATTCGGATAGAATCTTTTCACTGCATTTTTTTTTCTTTTTTCTTTAAAATAAATCGTAGAATTAATTAAGTTTGACAAATTATCTGAATTTCAAGCTTATATTTCGTTAATGTTTTTTCAACAAAAGCTCACATCAAACATGATAAATTAGAAAATCGACCTATTCTTTCTGTTTTGAGACTTTCAGGCCCGAATTAAAGGTTTTATTTTAATAGTCAGTTTAAAAGTAAATCAGTAAATGCCTTCCAAACTGGCCAGCAGGTTTTGGGGCTCAGAGGGTTAACGTAGGCGTCCTGACCAGCAGCTAGAGGCTCTAATACTGCTGGTGGGTGGAAACCGGTACCAGAATGCTTTTTTATACTCAGGTGTGTGCAATGGCATCATACTGAATTAAAATGACAACTAACTCCACAAGCAGAATGGAGAACTGTTCAGCACAATGCATTTTAAGGAACTTGGCCTTGTATGTTTTTCCATTTATGCCAGTCTGCCTTCCAGCTGTCTTCTGTCGCCTGTACAAGCTGTCATGTGCTTTCAGCGTGGCCTTCTCTCCGACCCGTTTCCATTTCTCTAAGCTGCTTCACTTCTCTGAAACATTATCACAAGTGAGAGTGGATACGTCTTAGATCAGTGAGTTTTGGAATTAATTTCAAAAAATGCCTCCTCTGTTGCCAACAAGTCTATATGTAGAATACAGAGGTCAGCAGAAGTTCAGCTGTTGACCGTCCAGTCGTCAGCCTTCAACACATTCTCTGTGTTACAGCAGCAAAGGGAAGCTGCATGCTCTCTTGCCTTCTAAACTCCCGGCAGAGCTGTCACCAATAAAAGCTTCTTGCTCAGAGCCTCCAGCACTGAATATATATATATAAACACTATAAACACAGATTTGACATAAGCCATCAAACATCAGCCACTGGAGTTGCAAAGCCAGGTCACTGGCGCTCTAGAGACATCCAGTCCACTTCACTTAACTCAAGTGTTCATGTGACAACACGTGTCTCAGCACACTTGAATGCGCGCTAGTGTGCAGCAGTGTGCTGGAGCTTCATGGCTTATTCAGCACCCTGACACTGCCGGGCTCATCACCACCACCACCACCAGCACCACCACCAGAACCACCACCAGCACCACCAGCACCAGCACCACCACCACCACCACCACCACCACCACCACCACCAGCACCACGCCGCCTTTACTTATTCATGTTGTTTTATGTCCATTAAAATGAATATTTCTGTAGTTTTCTATCAACACATGATGTCCTTTGGCAAAGTCAGATGGAGCCCGTAGAGAAGCCGTTTCTCCTACATGCAGGACTAACGTAGTGTGCAGAGACTTTCTGTCCTCCTCCTGCTCCACCTGCTCCTCCTGCTGCCTCCTGCTCCTCCTGCTGCCTCCTGCTGCCTCCTGCTGCCTCCTGCTCCTCCTGTTCCTCCTGCTGCCTCCTGCTGCCTTCTGCTGCCTCCTGCTGCCTCCTGCTCCTCCTCCTGCTCCTGCTGCCTCCTGCTGCCTCCTGCTCCTCCTCCTGCTCCTGCTGCCTCCTGCTGCCTCCTGCTCCTCCTGCTCCTCCTGCTCCTCCTGCTGCTCCTGTTCCTCCTGCTCCTCCTGCTCCTCCTGCTCCTCCTGTTCCTCCTGTTCCTCCTGCTCCTCCTGCTGCCTCCTGCTCCTCCTGCACCTCCTGCTCCTCCTGCTGCCTCCTGCTCCTCCTGCTCCTCCTGCTCCTCCTGCTGCCTCCTGCTCCTCCTGCTGCTCCTGTTCCTCCTGCTGCCTCCTGCTCCTCCTGCTGCCTCCTGCTACTCCTGCTCCTCCTGCTACTCCTGCTGCCTCCTGCTCCTCCTGCTACTCCTGCTCCTCCTGTTCCTCCTGCTGCCTCCTGCTGCCTCCTGCTCCTCCTGCTCCTCCTGCTGCTCCTGTTCCTCCTCCTGCCTCCTGCTCCTCCTGCACCTCCTGCTGCCTCCTGCTACTCCTGCTGCCTCCTGCTCCTCCTGCTACTCTGCTCCTCCTGCTGCCTCCTGCTCCTCCTGCACCTCCTGCTCCTCCTGCTCCTCCTGCACCTCCTGCTCCTCCTGCTCCTCCTGCTGCCTCCTGCTCCTCCTGCTCCTCCTGCTGCCTCCTGCTACTCCTGCTACTCCTGCTACTCCTGCTGCCTCCTGCTCCTCCTGCTACTCCTGCTCCTCCTGCTCCTCCCTTGTTTCCTCGTATTGTCTCCTCATTCATTTACAGTCTTCGTCTCCTCTTGGTTGTGTTCATTCAGTTCTCAGCTTCTCTCCTCCCTCCATTCTCACTTTTGTTTTGCCTCCATCACTCACTCACTTCCTGTTTCTGTACGTCCACGTCCTGTTTGTCCCCCGACCCTTGTCCTCTGTTTTCCCTCCACCCTGTTCTCCTCAGGTCTCCTCCTCCCTCCATCCTCCCTGCTCATGCTCCGCCAAAGCTCCCCAGGAGGAGGTGGACAGATGCGACCGGCTGACAGCGCTGCCACCTTCTGTGCTGACATGAAGTGGTCAGCTCTGTGTTGAATGGGAATGGCTCAGCAGGGACTTGCTCTTGACAAACTTCTGGTATTTGTGGTAGTGACCATAGCACTTACCATAGAACACACTGGGTGTGAATGTACATCTGCATCATGAAGTGAAACCTGCTCAGCACTTATTCATTCTAACAACACCTCGCGCTGGCTGACAGTCCTCCAGGCTAGCTCCTCTGTCTACTGAGTCCAGCGCTGCATCTCTTCCTTCTTGACTCTTGGTGCAGTGACAGTTTTGAAAAGTTGTCCACCTTATTGCTTCTCCACCTGTCTCTCATGTCCTGTTTTCTTTTCTGTGTGCTTTGTTGTTCCTCATCTCCGTCCCCTCCTTTGTGCCTCCTGACCCTCACTGTGAAGCTCACGGTGAAAGTGGCGGGATGGGGTTAGATCCACTCTGGACTCTGCAAGGAAACAGTCGTTCACATAGCTCCTGGAAGGTTTAGGCATGTGCTAGTCTGCTCTTTATTTTCACTCTCTCCAAAAATCATTTCCTGTTTCTGTAATGATTCGAGCACTGTTGTTATATTACCTAAGGTTAAATTCCAACAAATGATATAAATTAAAATATGATTTACTTGTTTTGTATTTAATCAGTGATTCCGTAGATCCGCTGCTCTGTCTGAAGGAGTTGAACAAGTCGGTTTTTATCTATAGACCAATTGGTCTCAAAGGGTTTTCAGCTTCAGCGAAGCTCAGAACGAGAGGGAGCTCTGAAGAGAGACACTCAGCTCTGTCAGAGGTTCTTGGCAAGTCAGTCATTGATTTGCAATTTCCACACTTTTTTCTTGAAAGTGTTTCAGAAAGGCTTGAAGGTGCTTTTTCTGTGTTGCTGGAAGCCGACTGCTTGTCCTGCCTGAACTTACACTGGCCTCTGCTCAGACATGAAGTCTCCTTTAACGTCTGGCAAGAGGTCAGACAAGAGTGATATAATAAAATGGTCAGAACTGAATCACATTTCAATGCATATTGTGTATTGTTCTTTGTAAGTGCACTGTAGCTGTACCTGCTGCCGTGGACATCAGGAGATGACCCAGCATCACGGGGAACATGTACACGCTGATGTCTCCTACGCCTGGATACCGTGTCTATGGCACAGCTCAACCAATGAAGATGATTACATGGCGTTAATGATTAGTTCAATGTTCACAGCTGAATGGCACCAAAGGATGTGCGTCTTTTTAAATTGTTTTAAATGGTTGAGAGAATAAAGAGGAATGAGACGGAGGAGCACGGAGCCACGCCGTGTCCTGTATGTGTGTTTGAATTCTTTATTAGATCCCCATTAGCTGCCACAAAGTGCTTGCTAGTCTTCCTGGGGTCCAGTGCTGCGTTAATACCTGCCCTGCTGGTGAAGGCTGCTTTAGTGCGGGATTAGGAGTGTTTCAAGTCATTTTTTCTTCATCTTTTTTGTTATTGGAGTCGTACCTGTGGAGCACGTACTAAATACAAGCTGAAGATGTCAGCTGGGTGCACACGGACTGCCTAAGACCACAGAGTACTGCATCGTTGTTAGCGTACGTCCGTGGCATGTGGATCTGGTCCTCGGCCCCTCCAGCCATACATCCGCCCTGTCCTTCCTTAGTTTCCTTCATGGATTACTTCCCATGTGGGAGCGTTTACATACGTTCGGTTTGCGCGTCCTTGGGCAAAGCCCGGCACTTTTCTTCACGTCTTTGTGTGCGTGGTCCTTTAACTCCTGCTCTCTCCAGGGACCATATAGTAATATATTTACTCCTGTGGTTGGCTGTGTCTGCAGGCTACAGAAATATGAGGTAATTACCAAGCTGCTGGAAGAGCTTCTACAAAAATCTGTATCGAATGTTTTGCTTCAAGCAAGTCTAATTCTGAGGATATTACGCAGAAGTTATTACCTGCTCTGAGTGCTTGTGTCCATCGAGTGAATGGTGGTTTTTAAAATAATGTCCTGGCCTATTGAGAAGACATTAGATTTGGGGCATTTTAGTTTTTTTTTTTAGTTGGACAGGAGACCCATACCATTCAGGTAGAAAGCAAAAAAGTAATCAGATTTCATTCTAAATGCTGTGGTTCTGTTTGTAGGACTGGATGCCACAGGAGCACCTAAAGATCAGCCACGTTAACGTTGGCGTTCATTTTTACTTTTCATAATGAACAAAGATCCTTCTGAAGGTTGTTTCTCCAAATACAGTGGTTTAACTTAACATCATGCTTTCTTTTATGAGCATTGTTCCAATTGATTTTTGGTGTATTGATATCATACCAGTATGTTATTCTCAAATGTCTCCTGGTAATTCACCGTGGCTCACTTCCACCATCATTGCAGAGTGCCTTCATGTCTTATGGGTGATACAGGTAAGCTGTATAATCCTGAATCCTTTTGCTCCAGTTTTGGTTAAATATCACCTCTATGGTTGTTGTTGTCTTTTGTTAAGGCCCTGATCCTGATGGGTGTTCCTGTCTGTCGTTGTCTCTCCGTCCTGTCTCCAGTTTGGTAGCTGACCTGATGGAGACGTGCATCGACGATGTCCTGAGGGCTCCTGTTCCTACGGTGGCGACTCCGGAGGAAGCTGGACCGAGCGCTGCCTATGCCGCCGCCAGTGTGACTGTGGACGATCCACTCAGTCTGAGCGGTGAGGCTACAGCAGCACTGCAACTCTCATCCAGCGTTAAAATATAGATGAAGTCACAAAGGTTGTTTTCAGGCTCAGAAAGTAGCAAACAGTTGAAATATGTTTGAAGCCGATCTTAACGAGTCACTGTGATCCTCCACGTGTTTGAAGCCGTGACTGTCAGACACATTGGCACCACCAGCTCCCTTCCTCCCATTTTATCCACGTTTTATACATTTGCTCTGCCTCTGTTCACATTTCTCAGTTAATTCCGGCTTGAAGTCCATTATTATCACGCCTCAGAACTGATTATGTGAGGCGCTGTTAATGCTCCTGTTTTGTTGCTTGTCATTAAGTACAATTAAAGGCAAACTCGGTAATTATTAGTTGAATTATCATTACAATAGTAATTAGAAATATTAAGGTTTCCTGTGCATAAACTGAATAATTACAATGTCGTTAGCATATATGTGTATTTAGATGTTTTTCACCTCCTCAGAAGCAGCAGCTCGTCTGAAACAGCTCGAGCTGGAGAGCAGTCCGCTTCTCGCTGCTCCGAGAAACAACGTCAACGTCAACATGGCCATGAACAACCAGGTGAACGTTTGTTTAGAGTACGTTTGTCATAAAACCCACCTTTGGCTGCCATGTGTAGCCCGTGTAACGGTTGATGGTGCTCCAACAGGAGGATGTGGTGAAGCTCACAGAGAAGTGCGGTCTGAACAGTGCAGGCAGCAGTCCGGCCGTCACGCCACTGCGCGCCCCAGACGATCTGAAGAGCAACATCTTGAAAGCTCAAGCCGAGGCTGCTGCCCTCAAGGTTCGAAACAGACTCCACGAAACTGGGAAACAGGGAGAGAAGGAGGAAGAAAGACACCTCGACTAATGCAGATGGAGGTTTCACGTGATACGTGCCCAGGCTTCATAACATCTGTATCATGTGCTGCTTTGTGATGCTGAGGGATTCTGTGTCAGGATGAAGGCCCTGCCAGCTGTGTCTGGTAGCAGCTCAAGTAATCAAATCTATTAACTTGAAACAGATGTACCTACTGGATTTGAAAGGCTGCACTCTGGTTGTTTTCAGCAGTTGTGGTCTTTCCACATGGTTTGTGTGAAGTGCAGTGAGCAAAGACTGAAACTTTACTGAAGCTAAGTTAAGCGAGTGTGCTTTTGGCTTCGAGCTGTCAACGCTTTTTAAAAATAGGAACTTATTAGTCTTCATATTATTACAATCATCCAAATATTTCCAACACGACTGATGCCTCCTACTGGTTTATGTATAAGAAAATCTTTAGCTTTGTCCTGTTTTGTCAGCCAGGACCTCCTGCTGCTGCTCTGCCTCCAGTCAGGCCTCCACCTGTGTGTCACAGCAGCATTAGATCATCACAGCACAGATAGCAGACATGCACAATGCCTCACACATGTGAACTTGTTTATGTTCTGCTATCGAGTGGACTTGCAATGCACATGGGATCTGTGAAAACTCCCCCACCACACTGTCTTTACGTGCCTCTGTTCTTCCCTCTGTAGGGGCCATTGGAGGAGCATGTTGTGATGGTTGGAGACAAAAACTGTAACCTGCAGGAAACCTCTGCCAGGTATGAACTCTGTCTGAGGCTTACAGATTGTCTGTCATTACTGAGGCAGAATAAATGTATTTTGATGCATCCTCAGGCTGCATTTTTACAGCCAGTGCAGAGCAAGCAAGCCCAGGAGAAAAACCATTGTCACTTGTGGTTCATTGTCTTGAAACTGGGCCCTCCTTCATCTTCCTGAGTCATGCCAACTGTCAGTGCATTGTCCCAGCCAATCACAGCGCTCAGTGCTGCTAGAGCTGATTAAGCTTTTGAATATTCATGAGGATTATTAGCATAGCCCACAGCATTACATCATGCACAGCTTGGCTGCATGAGCAAGGCTCCACAAACTGACAAGCGAGTCGCTGACTGGCTCGTGTTCGAGGCAGTAAGGCTCAAATCAGAACAGAGACTAGATCAGATTTGTAAAATTCTGTTGTTTACAATATTAGTTCTTAAGATATTGTTTGAAAGACCAAAGAATTCCCTGATCAATTAAAGCTCATCCGGGAGTTATGGGTTCTCTGTGAATCAGACTGACTGTTTCATGCACAAATGTGATTATGTTGACAACCTTCAAGGCACTAACAGCAGCTGGTGTTGTCTGTCTGCCAGGATGAAGGTGCGTACTGGGCGACTGGGCAGTAACTCGTCTCTCTCTGTCAGCAGCAGCCGCCCCGACATCCAGGACTCCTGGGACCTGCTCAAGCCAGCCTCCCTGGTCTGCTCTGCAGGGGCCAGGTCCGTGTTTGCATGCTCTAAATGCTTATGTGTGCAGCTTCTACTGTGCACGTGGCAATGTAGTGTACCAGCTCAACTCTGCCTGTACTCATTATTCACATTGTATGTATGGGCTGCAAGGTGGCGCAGTTGGTAGCACTGTTGCCTCGCGGCAAGAAGGTCGCTGGTTGGCGTCCCGGTGAGGACACCCGGGATCTTCCTGCGTGGAGTCTCCATGTTCTCCCCGTGCAGCGTGGGTTCTCTCCGGGTTCTCCGGCTTCCT